AGGTGCAGAGGTTTCTGGGAAACTGTACTTCAAACAGTTGAAAGGAAAACTCATATCACTTGTTGGCAGTGGCAGACTCCTGTCATCCCATGCACAGACCTGGGGGCGTGCACCCCTGGGAGGGTTGCGGGTCTGTGCTGAACTCCTCTGGAGGGTGCGGGCCCCCAGATCTGTGCATGGGATCACATGAGGCTCCTGGTGATGCCTAGGACTGGCATTGGGTGCAACCCATGCCCAGTGCTGGGAAGACTGCTGCTGCTGCAGGCCCCAGCCAGCAGTGGCAGCCCGCTGTCATCCTGTGTACAGAACCAGGGGCCTGCACCCCCAGGAAAGCTGCAGGGCTGTGCCAGACTCCTCCTGAGGGGCGTGGGCCCCCAGATCTGTGAGTGGGATGACAGCAGGCTGCCGCTACCAGCTGGGACTGATGCCAAGCAAGTCCAGCTTCAAAACTTGAAACATTCCAAAACTTCTGAAAGGTTTCGAGTGCCCTCGTTTCATTTTGAAGCTGTTTCTAAGCCTTCGGTTTTGTTTTGATTTTGCCATTTCAAGCTTGAAACAGCTTCAAAACAAAACACCAAGCGAAATTTTGCACAGCCCTAAAGGCTATCACATGGGGACATACCTAGAATGTCTGTAAGCAGGCTAAGGGACTTTAATGTACTAGACAGTATTAAGTAGTGAATGATGTACTACCTGGGGGACTTCACTATAATAGAGAAAAACTGAAAGGACAGACGCACAGGTAAGTCTCTATAGAGAGAGACTGATTTCTTAACAAACTGAGAAAATAAATCTCCTTTGCAAAAGAGGTTAAAATGCTAAGATGCAGTTTTATAATCCATCATTAGGTTTAAAAATGAAGAAGCAGAAGTCAGAATAGGATATAACTGGGGGAGCTCAGTTCTTTTCCCTGGACACAGGGGTCCTTTGGGAAACCTTTATTTATGTAGGGACAATTCTCAACCCCCCTAGGTTTTTGGCATAGTACATAGTTGGAAAGAATACCTTTTAGAAGGTTGTAATACAGTCCTTACTAACCTGTGCAAATTCCAAATAGGAGAGTACATCGCCATCTATTGCAATGCCACTCATTGATGCTTCTGTCAGCTCCTGCACAGCATGCTGTTCTGTTAAAGAAGAAAATCAGTAATTGACACAATAAAAATATGCATTTTAGCATAAAATAATTTTCAAATATTTATCAGAGAGCAAAAAATATGACAGTGTGTTTTGATAACAAAAATCTTGTCCATTCTATTCTAGGTTCCCATTAGTAATAATTGAGAGGAAGGAATTTCCAAAATATGTAGCCACAAATCATTAGCTGCAATGGGAATGACTGCAATTCTTAATACAGACAACAAAACAGAGTACCAAAAGTCTTAATATGCTTGGTACTTAACTCACAGATCAACCTGAAACCTACAGCTATTCAAAATACACAGATCTCCTTTGGTTCATAAATCAGTAAGAAAGAAATGGCCTTGTAAGGTGTACTTATATTTCTGCCTTAGTTGCTTCTGATTCCTTCTAACAGAAGCTTTGAGCCTCTGCATTACCTATAATATTATCTCTAAACAGATGCTATTCCCACCCTCCTCTAAAACCTCTTGTAAACCAAAATCAATCTACTACAGAGAATCAAAACCTCCTGCCCTCTCCCCATTCATTATGGGTTAATTTTTATTAATGAAAATATTTCCAATAATATAGCAAAGTTCCTTTCCATCTTCCTCACGACTGGCTACTCCTACAGTTCTTAAGTTAGGGTCTTCAGCCCCTAGAATAGGCCCCTCTTGCTAATGGACAATCGCTCACCTTTCTTGTATCTGAGTAACACAATAAACCACCTGACTCAGCAGACCCACCTAGCCTGTATCCTGCTAACAGGATGGAGTACCTGAACCAAACATTGCCAGACTGAAGTGTATGGTCCTTGTCAATAGCACTAGGGTGCAAAACAATACATACTGCTCAAACAAAAGTAAAAGATATTCTTAACATTTAAGGACATGTCTGTGCCATGAGCACTCAAAAAAATTATGAGGGCCCAATACATACACTTATGTAGGATCAGGGACTAACATGGACTAAAACTACCAAAACCAGTGTGGAACCGACTCCTCTACTGTGTCTTGCTGCACAGTAGAAAGCTATTCAGGAGGTGAGGTACTCAACATTAAGGAAATGTTGTCAACAGGTACAACTAACTCCTCCCATCTCTTGTAGTTTTTGTCTCATTTTCATCTTAGCTATTCCCATACTCCTCAAGGAAACAGAAAAAATATCCAGAAGTTTAGTATTAAAATCATTAAATTATTTCACACTGACATTTTTGTCCAAAATGAAGGAGGAAAAGTAGATTTTCTTGAAATTATACAACGTTGAATCCCCACATCTACAGCTGACTGACTGAGTCTAATCTCTGCTGTAAAAACAGATCTGATGCACTGAATTGGATCAATTCTAAATTGGCTCAGTTATTAGACACTCTTAGTATGTATTTATAAAGGAATACCTTGTTCACTATAATGGCAAACTTAGCATTCGTACCGTTTCACTGTGATTTAAGAATAAAATAATAGGTATTATGCATAGTAAGACATTGTTATTAATGCAGAAGGAAAATGTCTGTTTCTACAATATGGAACACTATAATGGCCTGAGTTATTTAGCACAAGTCATGGAGACAAGAGAGAGAAGCATATTTTTTCTTAGTGCAAATGCCAACTTGCATCACAACCAGCCTTTATACAAAGGAACAGCTTTTCTTTCCCTCTACATTTGCAATGAAAGCAGTGTGGGTGTTCAAAGACTCCTAAGCACCATTTTAGGAGTTCATAGAGACATGGCATTTGCCAACATGCAGACTCCTTACCTGCAAGTGCAACCAAGTGAGGAAGGCAAAATCTGTTTGCCAATGCAATTAATTCAAGTGTGTCCAACTCCTGACTTGATGATAACTGCTTGGTATACAGATAATCCAGGACAGCCTGCATAGAAGTCTTGTTTATGGTAGGAAGAACAACCTGCAAAAGGTATTTTAAAAGTTCTCTTATGAAAGATAAGCCCTTAACATATACAGGAGATATCCCACCTCTCTCATTATCCTTTTACTTTCTGCCAGGAGGTAACATTTTAAATTAACATAAATACCCCAAAAGTAAAAATTTACATTAAAATTTAAAAAGTCACGAAGAGAGTCTGACACAATCTAGTTGGACACCTATGCTTCTATACAAAGCCAGCATCTTGGTGGGAGTAAATGCATGTAGCTCCACAGAAGCGTCTGGAACTGTGCCCATTTACAGCAGAGAATCTGGCCCACACTTTTATAAAACGGTATTATTTCATGTCAGTTCAAGTCAAAGGCTGGGCTGGCGTGCCAGTTTTTCAGGACTCTAATAAATAAACCATTTTTTGTTTTTTTTCTGGTTCTTGGAACAGAACAAACTCTGTCATACTTTCTATTTATAGTTGATTCTAAATCCTCTAAAAATCCATGTACCTCCTGATTAGGATATGGTTAATTTAGTTCCAAAACTCTCCCAACTCCACCTTCAGGTAAAGGTTTCCAAAACCCAGCTCCTGAAATAATTATATTTCCTTGCTGTTGACAGACGCTACACATTTTTCTGTGCAAATCTGGAATTCAGACTGCCCCTGACTGCCCCAGTGAAAGGTGCACCAACTGGTGGATAAACACCCATTACCATTCAGAAGAAGCAAAACTCAAAAGTGTACTCAAAAGAATGGCAGTCTAGATAGCCATGTGCCTCATGCTCATGAAACAAACGAATTACAGTGTGCATGCATGAGCTAAGTAGCTAGAAGGCTTTCTGGGCTACCTACTTTCATGTGAGCTCAGCAGCTCAAGCGAATATTCAGTAACCATTGAGAGTGACCTACTCCCCATGTTGGTTCAAATCTAACCCTTGACAAAGATCTGAAACAAAAACGAAGGCATATTGAGCATGGGCTTGCTGCTCTACTTGGGGGTCTATCTGTCCCCACCAGACCCCTCCCTGCTGGAGAACTGGAGGCAAGGGTGGTGGAGCAGCTCCAGGCATGGGCTGGGCTCCTGAGGTGTCTCTGCCTACATGGGAGAGTGGTGGCACTGAACTATCTGGTCCTGTCCATGCTCTGGCACCATTTACACACCCTGCCTATGTCCCCTGAGGTCCTGGTAGGGCTCCAGAGATGGGTGCTGGAGTTTTTCAGGCCAGGATGGCATTGGGTTGCTGTAGGGTTCCTGAGCCTCCCCTTGTGGGAGGGTGGCCAGGACTTGGTTTGCCTGTGCAGCCAGGTCCTCACATTCCGCCTTCAGGCCCTGCAGTGACTGCTATACAGTGTCGGTAGCCATGTGACATGAGGCCACCTGGGGTGTGCCTTCCTCTGCCACTTCCAGGGGGTCCGATATGACTGGCAGCTCCTCAGCCTGTGGGGCTTCTCCCTACAGGATCTGTGAGGGCTGCCAGAGTTCTACTAGGACCTCCTTCCAACCTGGAGGATGGTTTCCACCTCCACATCTTCTGCAACATTTGCCCAGGATGCCAACCTGCTTGTCAAGCCCCTCTTCTGGAACCCCCAGCTGAGGCCAGCATGGTTTCATCGTGAGCAGGTCTTGTTGGACCAACCACATTTCTTTCTATGATCAGGTGACTCATCACCTGGATGACAGAAAAGCAGTTGACATCATATACCTCGACTTCCAGAAAGCCTTTGACCTGCTATCCCAAGAAGTACTGATCAGAAAACTGGAAGATATCGGGCTCAACTGTAGGACTGTCAAGTGGGTACGAAACTGGTTGTGGGGTAGGACGCAGAGTCCAAATGAATGGATCAGTGTTGTTCTGGCAAGATGTGGGCAGTGGCATACCCCAGGGGTCAGTACTTGGCCCGATGCTGTTCAACATTTTCATCAACGACCTGGATGAGGGGGTGAAAAGCCCATTGGCCGAGTTCATGGACAACACCAAGATATGGGGTTGCATGGACACACCTGCAGATAGATTGCAGATATAAGCAGACCTAGACAGACTGGCATGTTGGGTGGAAGGGAACCAGATGAGGTTCAATGTAGAGAAATGCAAAACGTGCTGCATCTGGGTAGAAAGAACCCCCAGCATACCTACAGGCTGGGCAACGCTAACCTGACCAGCACTACAAATGAAAGGGATCTAGGGGTAACAACAGACCCCAGAATGAATATAAGCTAGCAATGCAACACAGTAACCACTAGGGCCAATAAAACTCTGGCATGCAGCAATTGATGCGTCTCCAGTAAAACCAAAGAAGTGATTCTCCCGCTTTACTAAACATTGGTGTGGCCGCAGCTGGACTACTGCGTCCAGTTCTGGGTGCTGCAGTTCAACAAGGACATGCTAAAGCTCAGGAAGGTCCAGAGAAGGGCCTCCTATATGATCAGAGACTTGCATGGCTAGGGAGGCTGAGGGATCTTGGACTCTTCAGCCTTAAGAAAAGAAGGCTGAGAGGGGAGCTGAGTGCGGCTTACCACTATATCAGAGACATACATCAGAGTGTATGCCTCAACTGTTCACCAGGGCACCCTGGGGGAAAACTAGAAGCAGCGGCTACAAGCTCCTGGAAGTTAGTTTCAGGCTGAACATTAGGAAACATTTCTTCACAACTAGGGTGTCCAGACTATGGAACAAGCTCCCCTCAGAGGTGGTGCAATCACCCACCCTGGATGTCTTCAAGCAAAGACTAGACTGTCACCTGACTGGGGTCACCTGACCCCCAGATGTCTTTCCTGCTCATGCAGGGGGCTGGACCCAATGATCCTTTGGAGTCCCTTCCAGCCCTATGATTCTGAGGAGCTGACAGCAGAGGCACCCCGGTTGCAACAGAGGTTGATCTTGGCTGGTGTCACCTGTATTGGAGACCTCCAGGACTACAACTGGCAGGAGGGGGGGACCCCGCTGCACTAGCCCAGCACATGGGTCTACCCATAACACGTGCAACCTGCCATCTGGTCCAGGAGGTGAAATCTACCTTACCTCCTGATGTCCTTGCCTTTGTTGATCAGGTCCTGCGTGGTGGTGGTCCATGACCCTCCATGTCCTCCAGCCCACCGGAGTTTGTAGTGGCGCTGGCACCATGCCTGGCCTTGCGGTCCACCACCTGAGCTGGCTGGAGGATACCAGAGTCATTCGTTTTTCCACCATCCATCATCGCCACCTCTACATGTTTGTGCACTGCACAATCCATCATGCTACCCTCGCATCCCACCCAGACACCAGGTGGCGGGTCCTGCTTGGCAAGGGTGTAGCTGGGACACCCCAGTGGCTGAGGCTGTACTCCATCCTCATCCCATGAGCCACTGGGGACCTCAGCTGATGGCCCCTCCATGGAGCCGTCACCACAGGTGCATATGTGGTAAGCTTCCCAGACACCCCGGTCTCCTGCTTCTTCTGTGGGCAGAGGAGACCCTGGCGCACATGACCCTTGCGTGCGCCAGGGTGCTGCCCCTCCACCTCTACCTCCTCCTGAGGTTCTGGTTGAATTTCACCTGTCACCTTTTTGTTTTTGGTCACCCCATCCGTGGCCCCACCAAGTCCTGGGACCTCCTGGTCAACCTCCTCCTGGTAAAGTGGGCCCTGTACTTGAAAAAAGGAGGCTCTGGAAGGGAAGGTGCCTGGAGACTGTGAGGCCACTTTCCTCTCACTTGTCCGAGTATGTTTCTGGGCAGAGCACCAGAGGGTGGCATACCCAGGTTCCTTGGATGCCTTTGAGGGCCAGTGGGTGCGGCCCGGGGGAGGGGGGGGTGTCTCTGCTCAATGTCGCCCTCTGGAGAACTTATTTTCACATTTTGATCGTTTGACCCCCCACATCACTCCTATTCTGTTTTTGCTTTTGTTGTCCCAAGAAATTAATTGCATCTTTCATCCTTTGGCCATACAAAGGGGCTATTAGTTAACTGGGTGGGTGTTAAGGTCCACGTTAATATGGAAGATACAAATAGACAGGAGCTTTTGGGACGCAGCCAGTTTGTACCTGGGGACACTACACCTCGTGCCAGCTGAACTGCTGGAGCAGCCCTGAGAGTTCCCTGCATTCTCTACCCACTGCAGCAGTCTGGCAGTGGGGGCTGCTGCCTGGCTGTGACCTGCTGTGCACCTGCCCTCAAAGGCATCCAAGGAACCTGGGGATGCCGCCCACTGGTGCTCTGCCCAGAAACATGCCCAGATGGGGACTACACAGCCAGTAGAGGCATCTGCCTCTCTGGGCCAGCTGCCAGTGGACTATGGCTGCAGACTTGACCTTTGTGCAGCACTACTGCCATGTGTGCCCCCTGCCCGGCCATCTGGGCAGCTATTGCCCAGAGGATGTTCCCAGTGTGGTGGCCTGCTTTGAACTGTCTAAGCATGTCCTCCCGGTTCCAAATGGCCAAGAGGTCAGCCACCTCCAGCTGAGTCCAAGCTGTCAGCTCTGAGCAGGCTCCTCTGCCCAGGTCCTGCCACTTGCCTCCCTAGCAGGAATTCTGGTGTTCCCTATTTGAAAACTGAGAAATCCCAGATAAAAAACATCCCAAAGCCACTCTGTAAAATACCCCCAAATCCATGTTCTTCCACAATTAAAACAAAAGTGATAGAGAAAGAGAGAGAGACAAGAGAGTCAGCGATCAGTTGGGCAATGTTTTGTTGATATATCTACAGTGTTAAAGCAATTTGGAAGCCTACCAGTGTCTCTATCATCATAATAAAATGAATTCTAAATACCTATATGTTTTGCTGTTTGCTTTTGGTTTTCTTACCACAGAGCAGTTAGAACTCCCCTTGACCCCTTCACTAACCGGGATGTGGGGACAGCTGCCCCTGCAGCCACAGCTCCTGTCAGCAGGTCTCATCCTATCTGGCACCTGGGCACGCAGGGTATGTGGTGGGGGGATGTGAGGCTTGCAGAATAGGGGTGGGAAGAGGGGTGGGGGGATGTGGGTGGCTGTGGAGGGATGTGGGGTGTGTGGGTAGATCGCAGGTGCACTGTGGGGGGGGTAGCTTAGGAGGGG